GAGCCGGCCTGTAAATCCTTTTATGTGTGTTTTTAGTTTTCCACAGAGTCGGGGCCTAACTGCTGTGTAGCTTTGGCAGTGTTTTAACAAGTACTGGCTCATATAATGTTAGTTTTGTTTTTAACTCGAGTTAGAGCATGAGCCACAAAGTCTGAAAGTTAGGAATAGTTTCTTCCTCCAAGTCCACCAATTCTGAGCCTGTTAGCTGCTTCACTTTGTTACTACCTCCGATAAGGAGGTTATGTTTTTGCTCCTGGCCGTTTGTTTGTTTGTCAGCAGGATTACAAACTTTACACAAACTGCTGAGCAGCTTTCCACAGAACTTTCCACAGAACTTGGTGGAAGGATGTGGTCTGGGTCAAGAAAGAAGCATTAACTTTTTGGGCAGTTCCGGACAAAGGGGGGGGGTGCAGGGTGTTTTTTGTCATTTTCACCAATCTCCCAGCGAATAATTCATCGATCTTAACGAGACATCTATAAAATGCATCTTTTCTTTATCTTATAATTAGAGTTTTAGAGAAAAATGTTCTAAAAGCATTCTAAGGTTAAAGTTGTGTCTAATTTGCGGGGGTATTTGTTTTAGAGTGGCCTATATCCGCTCCTGTATGTTCACATCCATGTAAAAGAACAAACAAGATTAATTGGTCTGACACTTCACAAACCTGAACCTTGTTTCCTGGGCTGGGTTCACTCACCATTTTGTTTTTATTTCTAAATTTCCAGCAGCTGTGAGTCTAGATAAGTGTATTTTTCAGTGTACATACTTTGCAGCAGTCGTTTCATTCGGAGGCGTCGTCATCCGAAGAATTTTTTCATTAAATGAGACAAACGTTAGTCTGAACAAACCTCATTTGGAGGACACATGGCCCGACACACTTCACACGTCAGCCACGAAGTTCAGTGTGTTTGGCAGTGAGTGCACATCTGGTGAGAGCCAACACTCACGTACACACACACACACACACACACACACACAGACACACACACACACACACACACACACACACACACACACACACTCGCTCTCTCTCACACGTCTTCATGTCGACAGACCGCTCGACAGAAACACTTTTGCTTTCGAAGCTTTCCATTTCTTCCTGACATGATCCTCCCTGCTTTCTGCTTATCTTGATAAATTGTCCCACATTATTTTCTCTGCTTATATTTTTCTTTTAGGTTTTATTTTTACACTTTCATAGTAACATCTCTCGACGCTGAATTTACTTTTATGTTAATGGAACTATTTCGATGAACAAAAACAAGGAGATTGATTTAAGAATTGTAAGAATGATTTTCTTATTGAACCAAAACACCAGGAAAACTCTTCCTCTGCCCAGTTAATATTTGCATATTGAGTATATTGTTTACATTCTCTCAATTTAGGTTTCAAATCTGATTTGAATAAACTGAATTACACCGTAACTAAACTCAATACATTGTCCCAAGTAATTGATATTGAGGTAAATACTTCAAATACCAGAAAACATTATAGTAATAAAAACGGATGATGGATGGATAGACAGACCAACGGAAACTTTAAGTGGAGATTATTGTCTGTTCATGATTTTAGTGTCGCAAACTGGCAAAAATTTCAAATGAAAACATTTGAAGATGACACAATAGCTGAGTCTTTTGGACACAAACCCTACATTGAAGGTCCAGATATCCTGAGCAGCAAGTTCCCGGTTGAACTCCTAGTTACCCTGAACTGAAGATTTACTGCATATCAATCCCCAGCTGTCACTGTCTATAAATATCGCCAGTAAATGAAACTAGAATTTGAAGGATAATATTGACCGAAGCTGTAAAGTGAAAAGGTGCCATTCATATTTTGTAATTGAATATTGATTTTTTTATATATATAAAACGTCAGATCTTACAACCCTGTCATCAGTTATATTTGCTGTCTGGCATCAGTATATTGTGTAAATGATCTTTGCATTTTGAATTTGACACTGACTGCATGTTAGTGTATAATTCAATGTAAGAACTTTGTAAATCTGACTTGACTCAACAGCATCACTTCTTCCTTTAAAAAAACCAACACAGCACAATATCTCACTGGGTACAGAATAAGACTGCCCCCTTGTGTTGACAATTGATTTAGACGTGAAGGGGGAAACCTTTTAAAAGCCACCTCACTTTTTTCTCTTTGTGAAACTTTCATTTATTTGATTTTTATTGATTTATTTATATTTTTGCTTCCTTTGTTTTAATGTTCTTCTTGCCTTGTCTTGTCAGGCACTTTGTTTCATTGTTAAGAAGATGATTTATATCATTTTCGCCCTTTCTCTTCCAAACTTTTTTTCTTAATGGCTACTGGCAAAAACGTATGAAGTTATTATTTGCCCATAGTTTTATGGAATAACATGGAATAGAAAGAATAGACCGCACAGTATTTTCTGCTGCACTCTGGGGAAAAAAAAAAACAGATGAAAAGAAATCCAGAGTTTATCATTAATACAAGGGCAGCCGCTCGTTATAAACCTCGAATGTAAACTATAATATCTGAGGCTGTTTGAAGTTTTCTCCTGTGGAAACTATTCATTTACTGCCGCTCTTTTCATGTTTTAGTGTTTTAACCAGGCCAAATGTGTCCATGGTTAAAGTTTTAGAAGAGGCCCAGTGCCCGAGTCCCTGTGTCCTCAGAAACATCTGCAGAAACTTCTCCTCGTACCCACACCCTGCCAATTAAATCCAAACTAGTCAACTGGGTTTATAATCCCATGTGCAGTTTGTGGTGGAGCGTAGTTAAACTACAACATGTTTCTGTGACCACTGTTTTTAAAGAAGAGGCAGTGATCCACAGTGGTGAAGATTAATGAGAACATGTCAGCCACTGATTTTGGAAGGGTATCGAATAATATCCTGCCGATGTTGACGTCCAGTGTGGCGTCATTTCAGATAACATGGATCACGTGATGCATTATCAACGACAGCACGGAGCTCCACTTTCATCCACTAGTGTTATCATGTCAGTCAATAAACCAAGAGAGAGTCTGTAGAATCAGGACACTCAAGGCACCTGGAGTGAGATGCTAACACACAATGTGATACCGTAGTTAATGTGTGTAGCTACCTCCACCTTCACCCTCTCACCTTGAACTGTCTTCAAATATGACCCCTCGTTCCATAAGCAACATACAATAAAGTATTTTCTTTATATTTGAATTTCGAGGTCCATCATGTGCTGAAAATAAAGTCAAGAGTTTGATAATCAAGGATGAAGTGATGTACGTCCAAAAGGAATCAGATTACTTCATATGTTGTTGGGCTGTTGCTGTTGCCGGGGCGTTGTGCGTCCGTTAGCTTTTGGGCGGGTCAAAGGTCCCGGTGGCCTCACAATAGTTGTTTTTGGCCTCTTGAACATTATTGCTCAAGTCTGCCTTTAGGCAATTTCTTTCATTTTTGACCACTTGTCGCTTTTACTCACAGAGGAACTGATGAGATTCCAGTGGTTAGACGTCACAGTGAACTCTTGAGTCTGGAAAACTGCAGGTAGTCAAACCTGAAGTCAAAAAGAATGCAAACGTTTAATCTGCGCACACCAGGAAACCTGCTCACACTCATCTCTTTCTCTTATCAAGCACCACACACAGGTCTGTTTAATATTTTGCATATTGTCTGATGCCTTTACGTTTCTAATCTGCTGTCATCATCACACTTTCATTACAGTGGCCTGTCTTAGGAGCACAATCAGGTTTTAGTCTGTACGAGGGGAAAGAAATCGCCCGCTGCTTCCATTTGATAACACAAACAGCTGCGGCGTCAGTTTTTTCATGGGGTTTTGTTTTTTGCTTTTTGTGTTGTTGATTTGAACCAAACTTTTGAAAACCAGAGCAGCGTGATATAAAAGTATGAAATATTTATGAACATACAGATGAGAACCACAGCATTTATTTCAGTCAGGATCCTTTAGGGCCAATCCCACGGCTATTCCCCAAAGCTCTTGAAATGCTTGTAGCAGTGAATAAACAAGTTACAGTTGGCCCTTTTATGTATTTAAAGAAAAATGGTTGCCTAATGAGTAAAATGTGAAAAACATTACCAACAAAGTCCTTGGGTTCATTTTATCTGGAGATCTCCGAATGCAATAGTTACAATACAATAGATACGATAAGATACAATAGTACATGTACAATAAGATACGATGGATACAATAAGGCACAAAATTATATGATTAGATGCGATACACTGAGATCAGTACAATAAGATACGATTTGATACATACGATAAGATATATTAGATACAATTAGATGTGATAGATACAGTAGAGTAGTACATTAGATACAATAGATATGATACAATAGATACAATGTTATGGACACAATATGATGGATTAGATACGATAGATAAATACTTTAATATAATATTCGGGATCATGAGATAATAACAAATGTCGGAAAAATGGAAAAAAGTCAAGAATAGTAAAACACGAATTTTAAAAATAAGATGATAGAGCATCCATGTCAAAGGGACTGGAACATCTTTCATGTTGTTTTAAATGATCAGAGTTGTGATGCTGTTTGTTGCTGTGATGCTCAGCAGCAGCAGCAGCAGCTTCACTCTCAGACCACGCTGGATTAATAAAGTGACTTTAGGGGGCAGGTGGGAGCAGGGACAGTGCTCTCTGATATCTGCCCCTCTGTCCTGCAGCTCCTCTGGACAAACCCCACATAGAGGGTCCGCCACTGTGATGGGCCCTCTGCCCACAGGCGCGCACAGAGCCTCCTTTCTTTAAGACAGAGGCGCAGGGGAATTCCTTATGTTGGATGCTGCAGTGATGAGAAGCCTTTTCATGCGCCTGTTTTTCAGTCTCCACTTGCTGCTGCGTTAATTACAGGGCCCGGGGCTGCACTTTGAGCTCGCTGCGCTCATGCGGGCTCTTGAGAAGAAGCCGCGCGTCCGATTCTCACGACACAGATAAAAAAAATACACACGCACGGAAAGCATGCATGCACTCAGACGCGCGCCCGCCTGAGCCCGTGGAACCAGTCAGTCAACTGCTCGGGGGCGCGCCTTTCTGTCCTCAACTACTTCAGACTCCTCCGGCAGCGGGGGACACCGTGCGCGGTCGGATTTTGAGGGATATTTCCCGGGGAGGATGAGGAGCGTCAGTCCTCCTTCCACACCTCACTCAAAGTTTTAAACACCAGAGAGGAAGAGGAGGAGGAAGAGGGTACAGGACCCGCAGCAGCAGCAGCAGCAGCAGCTCCGGAGGCGATGGGAGACTTGGAGTAGCTTCACCCCGGCACTGAAACACCATGGCTGTGGACGGTAGGCAGCTTTACGCGCTATTTACAATGTGGACCAATTTCTTTAAAGTCGCTCAGATTCAATGGAAACTTCAAGTTGAAGCCACGTCTTGGTTCGTTCAGCTCAACACTTGTGGGACCGGTTTGTCAGGTGTGTCAGGGATTTGCATCTGGTGACAAGGCGCCTGCTGTAGCCTGTAAACCATCATTTAAGATTGAAAACATCACAGTGAGATGATGAGGTCATTTCATAAGGTTTTAATGAGGATACATGGGGGGGGGGGGGTCTGCTGATGGACAATGACCTGGTGCTGAAGTGGACAGCTCACTGGACAAAGCCAGCATCACCAGTTTGATGGAATCCTAAAGTTCCCCTTTAAAACCATTTAAATATTTTATTCTGCAAAACATAGGATGATCTATAGGTGAAGATTGGAGTTACACACTAACTCACAACATATAAGAAGATGCAAGTACATATTGTCCTCTGTCCATTCAAAACCTTTTTTGATCCGAGTTTTTGCATCTTTTATTTTATTCTGAATCCATTCGCCTATAAAGTGTGAGACAATCCAGGCTAACTGAATTTACTCTACACATATAAACAGACATGTGAGATGACATTTCTCATAGTAAGTAAAGGCAAATAAGATGGAGTAAATTAAGAACAGGATCGGGGTTGGAGCTCTGACGTTTGCCTGTGTGCCTTGCCTTAATGGTGACTATCATTGAGCAAAGCTGTTCAGTCTCAGCTGCGATCTCACTGTGATTTACTCCACGATGAGGATCTCACCCTGTCGCCTCATCACATAATGTTTTGTGGCTGCAGCCTCCGACAGGAAACTGGCATTTTCTGTGTCGCATTTATGTCAGAAATACCAACCAAACTAAATCCAAAGGAAACGCTTCACAGTTTATTCAGATTTTAGTCAATGAAAGTGCTTTTTTGTGCAGTGGTTGCAGTTAATATATGTGTGTTAGTTAATGAGGACTTTTTCTTCCCATAGTAAAACTAGAGGGAAAAAAACCAAGTCAGACAAATGGTCTTAATTATCTGCATTTAAGTGAAAGCAGCACATTCATGTTTACAGCCGCAGCCTGGGGGAGTAATAAAGCTGTGAATGAAGGTTCATAAGCACACAGTGTTGTAGTTACACCTCAAAGAACCTAAAATGGCATGTAGAGTTTTATTCATAATAATCTAATGCTGCTGGTTTGCCTGGATGATCGCAGGGCTCTGATTTGCTCCACTTCTAAGCAGGAGATGTTGCATTGCAGAAAGGAAACAGCACAAAGAGAGAAACACCAAAAGACACTCTTTTCATCTCTTCAAACCCTCATGTCCCTTGACACTCTCTGGTTCTGTGCTCCTTTCAGATTCTCTTAGTCAATTTAAGATAGGCTATTGAGAGTGCACGTTAAGACACACACACACATGAAACACATGTGCACACATGGCTCCAAAGCAGCAAGAAAATCCTTCCAATCTGGCACATGAATCAGTAATGACCCGTGGCCTCCTGCCAGATTCTGTGCCAGTAACAGCATGTTTACTGTAGTTGCACACTTTCTTTAATTACTGAATGTTGGGAAGCCACCTGCTGTTGAGAGAGCTTGGATGTCTGCCCGCAGGCCTCTTCGTAATGAAGAAAAAGTGGCTCATCTCACAGCTCTGACACCCCTCACCTGCAACATTCAAATACTTATACCTGACCACTGATATACAGGAATTACCCCGGAGCTCACCCAGGCTTAAAAAACTTTGAGCGTTGCATCACGCCTCCTCGGTTTCATCAGAGCAAGTACGAGCAGCAACTCAATGAGACCTAATGACTTAATCATGCCTGAATGACAAGCTGTCGAGGTGCGTTGGAATTAGTTTTCAAGTCATGCAGAGTTATGGATGATTTTGCAGAGCAGCACTTGACGCTGTTTTGAGGTTTGTCGATAGTTGCATTCAGGTGCAGCTCTGTAATCACTACTCCTTCTCCTTTTATCTCGCCAGCGGCATCCAGTTTCAGTTTCTGCAGGCCAGCTGTGGAGTACAGAGCTCTGTCCGAGGACTTCAAGCACCAGCTGAGTCGACGGACAGGTGGGAACCTAACCTGGCATGATGGACGTGGACAGAAAACAGCAGGTGGCAGGACGGTGAAGCTGCTGCAGCAGCCAGGCACAGAGGCCTTGCAGGTACCTAACACCTACATGACCTCAACTCGTCAAACAGCATCTTCAGTTCACTGACTGATGAAGTGTGATAACCTCCAAGTTTTCTTTGTTTAAAGATTTCAAAAAACAAAGGATCAGAATTTAATGGATATAACTCTGGATGTGATTTGTTGTAGCAGTAAAATCGCTTGCGTTCAAAGTGAAAGTTGAATTATATTTGCTGTAGAAATAAGCAGGAAGAAGGTTCCTGGTTTAAATCGCAGTTGAGCCGGTGTCTCCCAATGTTTCTGCAAAGACATGCAAACTGGGGGTTAGGTTAATGGGAGTCTCTAAATTGCCTGTAAGTCTGAACGTGAGTTGGAATAGTTGTTTATCTCCTTATACCCGGTGATAAAGTGGCGACCTGTCCAGAGTGTAACCCCGCCCCCCCACCCAATGTATGCTGGGATATAAATGATGGATGGATACCAGGAAACGTATGATTCATCAAAACTGTCGTTACCAACTGAGAATGTCGCTCCTTGCTGCTGAGATGAACACTGCAGTGTTGGGTTCTGTGGCGTCACAGCACAGGGAGTCTTTTGTACAACACTGGTCATTTGGTTGATTCAATAGTGGCAGAAAAAGTTGTTTCTTTATGTAACTTAAATCCAACAGCCACTGCAGGAGTGCTGTCATTGTCAGCTGATGCTTAGTCCATGATGTGTGATTCAATTACTTCCTAGGTTACTCGATGTCTTGATTAAAATCATGGGGCAACATACAGATTGGTGAGGTCAGAGAACTAGTTACTGTGAGTTTAAATAACCTGGTCAGACGTTAACCATAAAACAACTTCCACTAACTGTAGCTTCCACCTTTAGAGTGGAATACAAACTCAAAAACATAAGTCAGTTTAAATCACTAAAAGCATTTTTACATTCAAATACAAGCGTGTTGCTTCACATTCGTCGATACAGTGTTCATCTGTCCAAAATCCAAAATGGTGGCACTGTGTCAAACTGTACCACTGCCGCCAAATCAATCAATCAATCCAGTTTTAGTTGTATAGCCCAAACTACAAATCACAATTTCTCTCATAGGCTGAACATGTGCGACATCCTCTGCCCTTAACCCTTTTAAATCTGAAAAAAACACAGAAACCTCAGAGGAAGCAGCTTCAGTGCTAATGTTGTTAGCTACCTTTCAGAGACTTAAAACGAAGCGTGGGAGCTGCATGTGCACGAAGACGTTTCACCAAATAATGTTGTTTTTGTACGATCTCAATATGAGGTAAACTTGTTATTGTGCAATTCCTGAAGTTCAGACTTCATAAAAGTAGGTTAATTCTGTCCATGCTTCAGTTCAAGCGGAGGTCAGCGGCAATTGGCTTTGACCCGAGATGCAGTGATGCATCTTGGGTGGAGTATTGTGCACCACATGCGCATTAACGAGAGGGTGCAAGCAAAAGCTGTTTGTCTTTATACAATATTGTGAGAAATGTAAAAAACATTTTAAAATTCAGTTCAACTTCAAACACTGGAATCACAGAAATGAACATTTGGTTTGAATAAATCTTTTCTTGGATTGATTCAAAATAACTGAAAAATAAATAATGCTTGTGTTTAATAGTCACTAAAGTCGGTGCATTACGAGTAAAAACAGATCATTAAAGACTTTCACTTTCAAAGTCATATAACAAAGCAAAATAACAAATCTAAAGCTCACTAATGGAATGAAATCTTTTCCTCGTCTTCTTATCAGTCGACATAAAAACCTTCCTCACTGACTCTTCTGTCAGATCTCTGTACGGAAACGTCTGAAAGAAAAATGTTGGTTAATGTAGTCAGTCACCGTCCACTGATGCAAATGGACACTTTGTTATCAGAGAATGGACGCTGCTCTCGCCCAGCGGGTTGGTGGGCACTAACAGCCTTTTAGCATGACTTCAATAGCACAGGTCCTTCAACACTTAACACTGCAGCATCACTGTGTTCCTCCTACTGAAGGCAGAGAGAAACAGCATCTAGTTTGATTCAGTCTGCGGTTGTTGTGTTAATAAGCATTACGCAAAGCCTTTTTTTTAAATAAATCTCTCAGTGTGAAACATCGTCCTTTCCAGTCGGGATTCTGTCTCAGTTTAAATTCAATCTTTCACTTGATAATGATTTTCTTTATCTGATGCAGCATTGTCTGCTCCCCACATTAGGCAATGATCCATCTTTTATTGTAAAATGGCCTCATTTAAAGCCCTCGGTAACAAGTCGGAGAGTCTGCGCCTTTGTCCTCGCCCCATGAAAGGCTCTTGAAAGACGGTTATGAGCTGAAGCTAAAGCTGCAGACGTAGAACTGGGCTGGGCTGATAACAGAGTTGTGTACAATGTGTTGTTTGTTTGCTTCAATCCTTTTGGATGCACATAACGTAGTGGTCGGTGTATTTTTGTCTTGAGGAACTTCAAGTTAATGAGAGTTGTGTGTTTGGAGAATGTGGAACATGTGTAAGTGTGTTTTACCGTCCTCCACTGTTCAGTGTGAAACTCTTATCCCCTCCTCCACTCTCCATCCTCCCTTCCATACCATGTGTATGGAACAAACCGTAAACACTCATTACATTCTCTCTCAGTCATATGAATTCCTCCATCTTTATCCAGCAGCTACCGCTATAGACACAGAACCACACAATACTTTCCGTAATCTTTTAAAGACACGTTTTCGTTGTCTGTTTGTCATGAAAGTCATTGTTCAAGTAAGAACATTCCTTAATTTCAGCTTCTGAATAGTGTTCTGCTTTTCTCCGTCTTATTCCATATTTAACTGAATATGCTCGTTTTTGTTTTTTTTACTATTGTTCAGACTAAACAAGTGATTTGAAGACGTCGTTTTGGGCTTCAGGAAATTGCGATTGTCATTTTTCATATTTTTCTGGCATCTGGACATTCAACAAAACAATGAATCACTTCATCAACAAAATAATTGCAGAAGAATTATTAATGAAAATCGTTGCTTGCAGCACAAGTGGTGACGAGGGGGATTTTTGGGGACAGTGTTTCGAATCCAGTCTGAGGAAATCTGAAAAACTTTGAACTCGCTGAATTTCTAAAAACTGATGAAAGAGCCGGCTCGATTAGTCCCCCGCAGTTTTACATCCAGTTTTACAAATTCAAAATAATTTATTATTGATGAAATGAGGAAAATGTTTGCACCGTGTTAAACACGCCGGAAACATCATTATGTTAAAATGGCTCACCAGAGAAGCACCAGAGCTGTGGCTGGAACTTCGTAACATCCACAATTTTAGAAATCAAAACATTCACACACTGACGCTGTGATGGCTGCAGTGCAAGATATTAAGGAGCACCATGCACTAGTCCAGTTACACAGTCAAAGTGTTACGTAAGTGTGGGTGTGAAGTGATAACTACTGTTTACGACAAAAAAAAAGGGAGCGCTTCACAGAGCTGAGATGCTTTGCTCGTCAAGTCCAAGGATAAAAACAAAAACCCTCATAAAACACTGCGACCGCGGTGGTTTGGACGTCTGTCAATTTTTTATTTAACTTGGAAAGGAACCCACACATTGTAAATGAATGAGTCTTTGTAGTATTTCTGTTTCTGTTTGAGTATTTAGGATTTACTTGTTGTTACAGAAACATAACATTTGATATTTAACACATGCGCTTGTCATGGGAAATTAGATTTAAGTATAGGTTTCAGGTATAAGTGTGAGTATTAAGATGTTTTGAAGATTATGAACACGATTTTCATTCACCCGTCTGTTTGTTCTTTACGCAACACTTACCAGATTGCCACGAAACTTGGTAGAAGGATGCGGTGCGGGTATGTTTAGGAGACTGATATTTATGACTCTTGTGAAATAACTGGATCTAGATGTGGTTTCCAAAGGGAACTGTTGAGCCTGGGCAGCGGTGTGGGCATTCTGAGAGCCCTTCCAGTTTGATGAAGAGAACTCTTCTGCACAGATGTCTGATGAAGATGGCTGAATAAAGTAATTAACTCGATGAGCCTCAGTTCTCCTCTCTTGAATATATGAGCGTATTACCACGTGGATCTGTTTACAGAGAAGATTCTTAGAATTAAACAGTAACAAGTCATCAGTGTTATCTGACATATTAAAGTGTCTGGAGAAACTCTCAAAAGCCTCCAAGGTTTTACATCCTGTACATCTTTAAGATTAAAGAGCTGCATCTCAGGATCACACTTCGCTACACGCTCCTGTGTCTGTGCTGCTGCTGCTGATCTTCCTTCAGCACTGTTTGATCTGCACGCACATATGGTCGCAGTCGTCCCCGTGTGCTTTAATGAGTTGGAAACCTGTTCTCGTGCATGCATCTGCATATGAATCATGTACGTGTCTGTTCCATGACCTGAAAGTGTTGAATGCTGAATCGTCATCATTCAAACGCATCATTGAAGGAGTTTTCCTTCGTCAAGTGTTTTTTTTTAATGCACAGTGTTTCGACACGTGTACTGTGAAAGCATTATTTCACACACCAACTCCCTCTGTAACTCTTCATTCCAGAAATTACATATTCAAAAGCTTTGTTATTAAAATAAAAAAGGCTCAAATGGGACTTTCATTGTAAAGCCCATTAAATGGTTGATGCTTGAAAATAACCATATAAACACCATCCGTTTAAGTTCTAACATAAAACATCTTAATCCAAAGCTTTCCTGCTGAGACCTAACGAGCTTTGTTCAGGTTAATAAAAAGATGCATTAAGCCACAGATTTCCTTTAGCACATTTCTGACTTTTCTCTGTTTTCAGTACCGTTCCAGTGACAATTATGGGATATATCACACGAGCCCAACACAGCCGAGCCTGATCCGCCCCGTCGTGCTCTGGTCACAGCAAGACGTTTGTAAATGGCTAAAGAAGCACTGTCCTCACAACTACCTGACCTACGTGGAGGCCTTCTCCCACCACGCCATCACAGGTCGCACTGCTAAGATATCTTTACAAGAACACACAAATGGAGAGGGAGGGAGGGAGACGTACGATTTTAACCCTCTGCTTTCACCTCACAGGCCGCGCGTTGTTGCGTCTGAACGGGGAGAAGCTGGAGAGGATGGGTTTAGTGCAAGAGACGCTTCGGCAGGAGCTGCTGCAACAGGTGCTGCAGCTCCAGGTGCAGGAGGAGGGACGCAACCTGCAGCTGCTCAGCAGAGGTGAGCTTCTCTTCTAGTTTTCTACCAATCAATTCAGAAACTAGTCCTTTTGAGGAAGCAGCAGAGCCAAAATTCTTTCAGCACATAACCTCCCTCTATAACTGCAGAAAAGCTTTTATAGAGATGTTCCAATCCAATTGTTCCCTTCCTGATACCAATTTTGTGTATTGGCTGACAGAGAGTACTGATCCGACACCAGTGTGTTTACATCTGAGAACTTGTATAACCTATTTCAACAGCTGAAGGCTCCTATACCTGTATGGACGTGATGATTACTACCTGTGTTGTATGGGCTGGCTCAGGTTAAACCCTTTGAAGAACACAAAGACAAACTCTTACATATGTGCACGTCAACATTTTACTTGTGGTACTTTCCAGCGTGAAATGCTCGACATTGCTGACACTTTGGAAACATTACTTGCCAGTGGTCGTTTTGTGCAACTGCTGTTTTGAAGCAGACTAGATGAAGTGAATTCTGCAAAAATAAAATTTCAGTTTCATCCGGGTGAAACTAATATTCTTAAAAGAGGTGGTTTTGGATCAGTACATAGATTTGCATACTCTCCGATGTCCGACCCTTCACTTCCTGCACTAGCTGAGGAATTTTCAACGCTGGTATCGGAACATTTTTAGTTTTTTCTAACCCACAAAGCTGACTTCAAGGTTTAGGTTTCGTACAGAAGCTTCTGTAATTAATGATGGTTTATCTGAGCATGCACCAGAGTTACCCACAGGAGCATGTTTCATGTTTGCAGAAAGACAGAAATGAAGTTCAGTCATGACTTCAGCTCTAGTCTGTTAATTAGTGAGCTTCAGAGGAGACGCTGTTTCCAGTCTTTATACTAAACTACATAAACAGTAGGAGAACTTTTTTTTATTAATGTTTTCTCTCTTCAGCAGGTTCCTTTGGAAAGATATCATAGTCTGACCGCTGGACGAAGTGGACGCTGGGGATTTACTGGATATATGAAAACAAAAAACTCAAATGTGAATCACACTCGTGGAATCATTTCATCCAGCGCAGAGTGACGTCCTGAATTTTATATGAAATGGAAGTTGGAGGCTTTTCATTCACCGTGTGCACGATGAGCAGACGTCCTCTTCACGGACTGACCTGGAGCTGTGAAGAAAAAGCACCATGACAATCTGTTTCGTCAATTTATCTCTCTGCTCTGTGATTGAATACATCGACTAATCCTCTCTCTCTCTCTCTCTCTCTCCTTGAAACTTTTTTAAATGTCAGAAGAAAGAACAAATAAATAAAAAACATCAATGCCCTTATTTCTTTCTTTATTTTGCATATTCTCTTAGAAGTCAAAAGTGTGTGCAATGTATGGAAGCCCATTTCTGCCACTTTAAACTCCCTTAAGTATTTATAATGAGAAACTGAAAAACTGTTGCCGTGCACGTAGAAGACACAGATGAAGATGTCAACAGAGCTTCTGACGATAAGTGCCTGCAGCTGTGTCAATGTTCTTTAATCAAAAACACCTAATCTCCACAGCGGAGACGATGCTTAACGTCCTGCTGCTCCACCCCTCACCTGAACGCTCTGGAGATTTACGTGTTGTTATTCTGTCTGAGCAGAAAATCTCCTGCTGCGTTGTTCATGTGTGAAAGACAAAGGAGAGCATGTCTGAAAAACTGCTTCGGTGACTCAGAGTACCATCTGAGGCTACTCTCTCAAAATAACGACTTTTTACCTCAAAATAATGATTTCTTACCTCAAAATAATGATTTCTTACCTCATAAGTATGATTTAAAACACATTATTTACAGTCTCATAGTTAAAATACACATTTTATTTATCATATACACCAAACATATAGTACGACATGCACTTGTTAATCTCATATTTTGATTTGCCATCATAACGTTTTTTTAATCTCATCATTTTATTTTCAATCATCATTATGACTTATTAATCTCAGAATTCTGATTTACTATGATAATTATTCCTTCCTTAGTGTGATTTACCATCATAACGACGACCTTTTAAACCGATGATTTTGATTTACTTCTATAATTATTCCTTTTAAATCTCACATTTCTGATTTCCCCATCTTGTTTATTCTGTCTCAATCCCTTAATTTGATTTACTATCATAACTCACAACATGAGTTTGCATTCATCTGTTTATTTTTTTTTCTTTCACTGGCACAAATCAGCTTCCATAGCTTCTCCCCTCAGAGAGGTGGTGGAGACACGTGACGTCGGACTACATTACCCACAATCCCTCAGCTCGGTTAACCAGGAATCATCCATGGCTTCAACCGGCCGGTGCCGGCTCCGAGGTCGCTGGATCCCCATGGAAACGGAGTTCGGGAGAACAATGTCGTCCCGCTCGGACAGGTTTGATGCTCAGGATGATTTTTAACATGTGTTTGGGTTCGATTCCCGGAAAAGATCATTTCTATTGAATCTGCAGCAGCGTCTTGATCCTGTGACGCTGACACACTGAGTCCTGTCTGCTGCAAACACTGAATACACGCGACAGGTCTCATCTTTATTAATAATATTAATGATGATGATGATGATGGTGATGATGGTGATGATGATGGTGATAGCTTCGGATCAGTGAGTTTCATGTTGTGACAGGACGCTGGATGCAGATTCATCCAATGCGTCAAAACGCGCAGGTCTCCAGAAGAAGCTGATGTTGTTGCGTCACACGAACGAGAAACCACGAGATTATCCTTCAGATACAAGTAATGTGCAATAAAATATGTAATAAAACACCAATACTGACAGTTTCCATTCTGCAGACTGGAACTCACTCGTGTTATACACAGGTACATCTTATGCAAATCCTGTTCTTTATCGAGTCACAATCTGAAATGATTGAAATTAGCCTCAAATGTATAAAAGTTGTATTTGAAACTTCTTAAATTCCAGTTTGATATAATGAACCCTGGCCTGTCTGAGCGGTGCTGGAACATCTCACCTGCTTTTTATTCGTGCACAGTGGTGATAGGAGGATATTTAAATACCTAAGTGTGTAATATTCAAGTAAAATTAAATTCAAAACTAGATGCAGGTAAAAGTAGACGAACCCCCTCAGTGTTCATGGATGTATAATAAGGCATCAAGGGTTTTGCCTGTTTATTATTATTTTCTGCAAAGTAGCTACAGTTGTAATAAATGTTTTTAATATTCCTCTGAGTAATGTGCTCAAGTAGAATTTTAAAGAAGCAGAAAATGCTTCAAAACAATTCTTAAGTCCAGTACTTAGTTACCAAACATGACTATTGTACTCAAACGTAAGGTACTTGTACTCCACTAGATAACTAATATTTTAAATATCAGAAAATTATGAAAAAGCCCATTGTAGTGTCTGCTAATGTTTTGATTTGTTTAAACTCCAATATTTTCAGTTTGCAATAAAATTACTCTCTTGGGAACTTTCTCATGTTCAGTATTTTACCTTTTAAAAATAATATTTTTGACAATTAATCAAAATAGTTCCTGATTTTGTCGTTTCAGCTTCAGATCAAATGATCAAATCAGCGCCACCAACTGAAACATTAAAATTCTATTTAAGCATTAATGCATCACTAATGATGATAATGACCCAATAACATGTGATGATCAGACAGTAACACACTATTATATTTACAATAGTATTTGCTGCTAATACTTCTACTTTAGTAAAGTTTGACATTCAGGACCTTAATTTGTAACAGAGCGGTTTTGTAATAAGATGTTTTTACTCAAGTAAAAAACCTCAGTGCTTCTTCCTATCTGTCGTTATTCGTCTGTACTTTTATTTATACAATTTAAAGCTATTTCAAGCCCTGTATAAATAAATATGGCTTCAAGTTGCTTAACTTGAAGAAAGGACTTGTACAACAGTAATAAGTGTTAAAAACTAAAACATTACTCAGCTCAAATAAGCACGTCTCTGATTCAGCCTCGTCAGAGCAGGAACCGATACTTTACCAAGTCTGAAGTGATTAGTCGAGTAAAGAATTAGTATATGTCCTATTTAAATAAGTTTTTTCAATACTATTAAAATATGATTTAATAAGGATTAAAGGTTGAGGTTGTTTTTTCAAGCAATGTGTGTGTTTGAATCAGAGAGAGGAAGGAGCAGCTGAAGACATCCGTCCTCTTTTTGATTACAGGAGCATCTATTAATATCAGCAAAGCAGCTCTTTGCTGTCAGTGTTGCAGTGATCCTCTTAGTGTTTGTCCCACACACACACACACACACACACACACACACACACACACACACACACACACACAGAGAGGTGGACGGGCAGAGAAGGACAGGTGGAGAGGAGAGAAGAAGTCAGATCTGTGTTGATTGTTTGGCCTCCACAGAGACAGTTAAAGCAGAAACAGCTGTAATTTGCACACGTACACGTCTCCGCTCGGTGTCATTACTGGGGGCGGTTGTTTGGGCGAGGTTGCCACGGTGACAGACGAGCTGGACGGTAGGAGGTTGTCGTCCGCAGCAGACATGACTCTGCTGGACGGCACAGGAGCCAGGATCTCTGGCTGCTGGTCCCTGAGGTCAGACTGCAGGTAAGATCGGACTGTTTGTGTTGTTTTCTGTCAGTGCACAGGCTTCACAAAGCTCACACACACACACACACACACACACACACACTGGATGTGCGTGTGTGGGTCATGAATAGTCTGTGAACAGGGTTTGCAGAGAGGTCAGAGGAAGTGCAGGTTGTGGGTTATGCTTGCAGGGATTGTGGAGTGTTGTATTTGTGTTGGGTCTCAGAGGTTTTGCTTCTAGTGTGTCATCACTGAACAAACATTTTCAAACTGCAAAATGCAAAACACTCATTAGCCGTCCCTCCCTTTCATTTACGGTTTGTCTCGTTTTGTGTGCGTATTTGTAGTCGTCGTGTTTCGTGTGAACGAGCAGAGTTACTAATTACAGCCGGCGGGAACAGAGTCCCTGAATGTGTCTCCAGAGGGTGTGACGCAAAAACCCGGCTGACTTTATATCTTCTGTAGTAAACGTTGGTGTGAGTCAGATCTTAATTACAGTCGTCAACACTGTGATGAGCCGGTCAGAGAACTGAAGCTTTGACACTGTGAAGGAAGAAGATGTTCAAGTACAACAGTACATTTATCTTTTCATTTTCAAAATGTATGTGACATAAGAGTACAAGTACTAGTGTTACGTTTTAGAATTGTTACGTTCCACCACTCACCCTCAGAGAAGTTTTTCTACAGATGTCATCAGCTGATCAACCGTCTTACACAACAACACACAACAATGTGTTTGTGTAACCACACAAAAATGTCTTCCTGGACTTCAGGCTGTGGGACTTCAGCCTGTAACCTGTCCTGCTGTGTCTCTGTGCAGTGGCAGTGGGGAGGACTCGTTGGACCGGCTGCTGCCTCCTCTCGGGGCCCCTCGCAGGAGGAGCACTAACTCGCTGAGTACAACAGAGCCTCCTCTGCTGCGCACGGGCACACGCACCATCTACACCGCCGGCCGACCTCCCTGGTACGACGAGCACGGAGCTCAGTCTAAAGATGCCTTTGTCATCGGTATGAGACCCACTGGTTTTACTCGTCCTGACAGTTTCTTTCACTACCTTCATGTTGTGCTGCTGACCTCATATTCTCATTATGCCCCTTGAACACTTTCCTGCAATCGCACGTGCATCCCACCATCATCAGGTTCACCCTGAGAAGCAAACATAATGGCTCTTGTGGATCTGCAGGCTTGTGCGGGGGCAGCGCCTCAGGAAAGACCACCGTGGCCAATAAGATCATCGAGGCTCTGGATGTGCCGTGGGTCGTGCTGCTCTCTATGGACTCGTTCTACAAGGTGAGAGTCACTCACACCAAGCTGCACAAAATTACAGACACTGGTAGATGTCGTAAATATGCCGGATTGTTTTGTGTCAACGTCAAACCTCTCCTTTGAATCCAACATCCTGTGAACCTGAACATTATTCTGCTGCATGTTTACAGGTTTTATCTCCGGAGGAACAGACCCTGGCAGCGAGCAACGACTACAACTTCGATCATCCCGGGGCGTTTGACTTCGAGCTGCTGGAGGCCACCCTCAGAAAACTGAAGCAAGGCAAGAGTGTGAAGATCCCGGTGTACGACTTCACCACGCACGGACGACAGAAAGACTGGGTGAGTCCTGCGGAAAACTTCTCACTGATGATTTGAACTGGATTCACTTTTTCTCCGTAAACATGTTTTCCCTCATAAACTTGTTTCTCAAAGTGAAACTCTGCAGCTTTAATCTTTTAAACGGACTCTTCGTGCTGCAGCGTTCTGCTTTGAACCCTCCTCTTCCTCCTCTTTCTGCAGAAAAATGTTTACGGTGCCAGCGTGATTATATTTGAAGGAATTATGTCTTTCGCGGACAAAGAGCTCCTTCAGGTAAGCCGGTGTGTTTTCTTTTTGATGAATCCTTGTATCATCAGCAGGTATTGTTTGAGCAGCTGCAGCTTTTGCCGAAGTGAATTTTACCGAATCGTTCTCGGGCGTTTGCTCTTCCCACCTGCAGCTCCTGGATATGAAAATCTTTGTGGACACAGACTCAGACATTCGACTGGTCCGCCGGCTCCGCAGGGACATCACAGAGCGCAGACGGGACATTGAAGGCGTCATCAAGCAATACAACAAGTTTGTGAAGCCGGCCTTTGAGCAGTACATCGAGCCGACCATGAGGCTGGCAGATATCGTCGTGCCAAGAGGTGAGAGAAGATTTTCACCTCATCACGTTTCATACAGAGAACACAGCAGCAAACGCCTCTCACTGTGTTTCATTGTTTTCAGGTGGAGGGAATATGGTGGCCATCGATCTTATAGTCCAGCATGTTCACAGCCAGCTGGAGGAGGTGAGGGGCAGAAACACAGACAGACAGAGAGAGAGGGTGGCGCCACCATGTGTCCAAAAGGCGTAACACCAAACTGTCCAATAACCTAAAATCAGAGCTTCTCAGTCCCCTGGAGTTCAATATTTTTGAAGACTGGTGATCATATTGTAACAGGGTTTCTGCAGGGTCATAAAAAAAAAAGTTAAAATATCTTAAACCAGGATGATAAGGAATTAACAATGACTGATATCAGCAGCCTCATCATTTAAAATCCTTTATTTCTTCTGACTACCTTTATCTTATTGTCCTTCTCTTTATGCAGCGTGAGCTCAGTGTCAGGTACGCTGATCCACATTCTGACTTTGCCTTCTGTGATTTTGGTTTTCTTATTGTGACTCTGATCTCTCTGGTTCGTCTTTTGAGTTGACCGACTGGGTCTTTGTGATATTTCTCTGTCGTATTAACGTCAAACTGCTTCATTTGACGAGTGAGTGAAACCCTGACGATCTGAACAACCCGTCCTCTGTCCCCAGGGCTCTCCTGGCCTCCGCTCAGCAGACTCAGCCTCTGCCCCAGACGCTCAGTGTGTTGGAGAGCACGCCGCAGGTGCGGGGCCTGCACACCATCATCAGGTGAGCTGCCCTCCTCTGCAGCTTTGTGTCCATGCAGCAGTTCCCTCAGTGTGAGCGTAAAACACTTTATTTATGCTCTCCCGCAGGAACCAGGAAACCAGTCGAGATGAGTTCATCTTCTACTCAAAGAGATTAATGCGGCTGCTGATAGAACACGCTCTCACTTTTCTACCATCTCAGGTACTTCTGCTGTTTAAGTGGTTATCATCAATGTTTTTATGTTAACAATCGATCACTCGTCCTGCACTACCACGCTTCGCCATGTGAAACGTCTTCTTGTGGTGACGAGCCCACAGATAATTATCACCAGTAGTTTCCCCCCTCAGCTCTACAGAGTTTTACAGCCTCTGTCAGGTCGTTAATGTGCTTCACTTAGCTTCACTGTTGTGGTTCAGTCTCACTCATCTAATTGTTTTAAAACTGGAGCTGCTTTTTTTAATGAAAAGGCTCTGATGCTCCAACTGTACAAAACCTGCTCTGCTCCAAATGGCAGTTCGACAAAATCAGCGACATTTAGCAGCTCTCTCTCAGGTGTCGCCTGAAATTTCCATCCGTCCATTATCTATTCTGCGTCGTGCGGTTGCAGCCAGCTCCAGCGGAAGTTGGGCGAGGCTACACCCTACACAGGTCTCCAGCATGTGGCAGACATACAAAGACAAAAATCAATCATACTCACATTTGCAATTCAGAGTCTCCAGTTAGTGTTTGGACTGAGGGAGGAGCAGGAGTATCTGAAAAGAACAAACAACAATGCAGAAGAGACGAGGACATTATGCAAACTGTAGATTTCTTATGGTGATGTTGCTGGATGTGCAAATAAGAAACTGTCAAGGTGATGGTTTGTGATGTGTTCACAGATTGTTGTCAGTGTCCCCATGTGGTTTCTGCTCGAGATCATTATAATAATCACACTGTTTTCAAAGCGTCATTACTGTTTTTACTTAATCTGCGTCCGTGCACATCGTTTCTAAAATCAAAGCTTTTAAGCAGGTAACTCAGAAATGATTGAGAAATAGTTTTTAAACAGTAACAAGCCAACAATGCGCCTGAGAAAAATAAAAGTGTCTGAACACTCATTGTGATGCACTGCCTGTTGTGTCTGAGACAAAGTTCAAGTCGCTGCTCGTTGGTTTTCTAAACCACAGCCGCCTGGAAAGTATCTTAAGGGAGCAGATTTTGTTTTAGTTTGTTAAAACTCTTTTCTTGTGTATCCACTAACAGGCGTGTGTAGTTCAGACTCCACAGGGCCATGAGTACGAGGGCCGCAGCTACAACGGGAGAGGGGTGAGTGATGCTCTTGTTTTACAAGGTCTTGTTAACTTCCAGTCGGATTGTGTCCTCAGGGTTTTTGTCATCGCATTCGTCCCCACAGATCACCGGTGTGTCCATCCTGCGGGCAGGAGAGACCATGGAGCCCGCCCTGAGGGCCGTGTGCAAGGACGTCCGCATCGGCAAGATCCTCATCCAGACCAACCTCGACTCAGGCGAACCAGAGGTAGATATGAATGAGATAGATGAATATCTTTACTGTAACTGTGCTCAAGATGCGAACGTGTGTTACATTTTTGTCGGATCACATGAGATAAAAGATGAAAATGTTTCTTTTCTTGTTTTTTTTTATTTATTTTTATTCTTCCACATGATGTGTCTCCGTGGTAACTACCCTTCCTGATTTTGTAACCATGGTAACCTGTCTCCTCCTCTCTGGCCTCGCCAGCTGCATTACCTGCGTCTGCCCAAAGACATCAGTGAAGATCATGTCATCCTAATGGACAGCACAGTGTCCACCGGCGCTGCTGCCATGATGGCGGTACGAGTCCTGTTGGTGGGTGCAGATTAACATCATTACTCGTCAGTAAGAACAGGACCCCCCCCCCCTCACCTCTTTGTTCTGGTGACGGTTGATTAGCTGCAGAGAGAAATGTCAAATAATTTCTTCCCTTTGCTTTCTACTTTAATTATTCTCCTGTTAATGATAATTATGATAAAGCAGGTATTTACAGTTGTCACCGTGTGTGTGTGTGTGTGTGT